ACGCCTCAATTTAACGCGAAATTTTTAAGAGCTCGCAAAATTCTGAAAACAGCTATTTATTGCAATATCTTTAAAGTTTTTCATTAGGAAAATTTAAAGCTTATGAGAATCCTAACCCTGAAAAAAAAGTTCTGGTACTAGTAGGAAGATGAGCGTTATTTTTCTTATTTTAGTTACGTTCTAATCAGCATTGTTATTGCTAAATTAGAAATAATGGAAAGCTTCTGAACCAAGCTAATGGCCAAAAGATGCTTTTCAACTCGGGGATTTTAGCTGGCTGAAAGTAAATTCTTGCAAGCAAAACTTCTGATCCTGAAAAAAAAAAATACATTGCTCCTTAGAACAATTCCACTAGATGATGTTCTTTGGAGATTCCGGTGAAGAAAACTGAGAGCTTTTATAGGCTAGTTAGTTTTAATAAAAATTTGAACAGAACAGGATGTAGTGCAAGCAGCCGGTCGACGGAGAGAAGGCACAAAGAAAAAAGATTGGCTGGTGGTTTACTGAAGAGCTGTTTGTTAGTCTGTTTTGCATGCCAGTTGGCTACAGTTCTGGCATCCGGATTCGAAGTATTTACTCTAAATCCTGAATTCTGACGGCTCGTTTCTTCAGCAAAACAAGTTCCTTTTTGTTTATTTGTTTGTTTATTCATGCAGGATAGTGCGGGAAATTTTGACATCAATTGGAATATTTTACTTTTACTGTCGCTGTCATTGCTATCAATATTGTCATTGTCATTATTTTCAGTATTATTGCTATTACTATATTTGGCACTTGTGTTAAAGTATTAAACTTTCCGCTCATGCGACTGCAAGTGAACGCATTTGTCGTCATCGATTATAGGATGGTGCCCATGGAAGTCGGATGTCTTTATCATCATAACTATCGTTATCACTATTATTATTTATGACTGCATTTATTGCTCCAGTCATTAATACTATTTTTATATGCGCTAATATTATAGCTACTATAGTTTATCATAATAATCATTAACATTAATATTGCTTATTGTTATAATTATAATAATAACTATTATTATTGCAGATGCCAACACATCCACTAGAACTGTTTGACTATAACTGGATAACCAGAAGCGGGTAGTTTCAGGACAGTGATCGGAACAACTGTGTGCATTTGTGTTCACTTAGTCAACACAGCAAGCATTCCAGCAATATTTGCATTCTGACGTTCCAAGGCTATAATGCCTAATAGTACTACTCGCCTCGGGTATCCGTTTGCTCCCGAAACCTGTTTCCCTTTTTTGTTGCTATTTTTAAGCAGCCACGGCGATTTCGTTCAATTTGTCTCTTATTTGCAGACAAAAATCTGAAAGAAAAAGGTTCAGGATTTTTTGGCTTACACCTGCAGCTTTTTGTCTCCCCGAGTGAATTTGCAAAGACTGTCATGTAGAGATCCGATTTTTTTAATGTTACTGGGATAAATTTGTGCGCCAAAAACAACTCTGCCAATTCTCAGATACCAGAGCTGTATGTCCTTACGAAATCGCAAAAAATACATATATTTAATAAAAATTAGATTTTTCTAGGATTGGAAATCGGCTAAGCAAGTAAAAAGCGGCTTCCTCCGGTCCCAGAAAATTGCTCTTTTTTTATGAAAATCTGAAGTATCTAGTGACAGATGTCGGAAAAAGCTTTAACATTCAAGCCATGGGCTTGTGTTTTCTCTGCTACTAAATTCAGGCTTGCTACGCATTTATCCTCTCGAAAATACATGTGTTTATTTTTGCATTTAAAAAATAATGGATTGAAGCATCATAATTTCCGATTTTTCAGTCGCCCTCGTCTCTTCCCGTTGCTTCCATCGTTCTCATCCCTCTTCGCTTGATTCTCCCATTTAACTCACATTTCTGTATGCATTTGATACTTTCACCAGTTTCTTGTTAGTCACTGATATTCCATTTCATACTGTTGATGCAGCTGGCAACTTCTCTATTCTGCTCTTGCAGCTAATAGCCCTGCTAATATCTCACTGAGACTGCAGAGAAGTAGTCAGTGCCTGTTTTGCATTGAAAGTAATCTTATCTCAGATTTGCTCTTCCATAATATCGCCATTGGTTGGGAAGTTTTTTTAACGTTTGTTTTCATTTATTTCAGAGTTTAGCGCTTCTGAAGCTGGCTTTTTACTTTCCAGTGTAGTCTGTCATTTTCTACTTATAATTAGCGTTCTTTAACTAAAATTTTCCAAAGTCCTCGTCAGTGTGAAGCAGCTACGTTTTCTTGTTTTTCTTTGGTGGTTCCAATTCTGGTCGAGCGGGAAACTGTAACGCTTTTCTTCCCTCTTTACCTTTAGTCATGCAGATCAGTTGCTCTGCGGCAGTTCGGCAATGTTTCCGTTACCGCATTCTATCTCACTTTCACTCATTACCCTTCAAGAATTCCAGAATATTTCACTTTGAGACTTATACGTCTTCGTTTTCCACTATCGCCGGAAAGCTAAAATCTACCGCTGACACTTGAGATACTAGATGGTTCAGGTCGCTTCCAGCCTTTTTCTATGTTTTTAGCCTACTCAAAGTCACTGAAGAGCGGTGTTGGCTACTTTGTCAGCTTGCATATTTGCTTATAGCTATGCAAATTTTTTGTGCAGTATTGATCATGCTAAATAACAACACTGTTACAGAGCAACAGCCATCTCTCAGATGGCCGCTTCGGAAGCACGTACACGAATACCAATTTCCCTGCAGCGTTCACGTTTCGCCTTTGCTCCGCCAGCCAGCAGCAGAATAGATAAAACAAACGAACACTGCAAGGATCGCCCTCAAGAATCTTCTGAAGCTACGCGTCGTATATCTTTTGATGCCGCGAAAAAAGAACCGAATTTATTCCAACCGGTCAGTACTTTTTTCCAAACAGTATATTCCTGAACGAATTGCTTGCCTCTATTTTCTTCATTTTCTTGCACATTAGCTGAAAACGCGAAGAGAAAACAAACTTTTTTTATTCATATAGAATCCTTTACAGTACAATGTTAAACTGTTACGCCATCATTCTTGTGAGCGAAAAGTGCAAGAAAGCGCGATACAATAATTACAATGCCGCGCAGTAAAAATGGATATCCTATGTTAGTGATATTACTGAGTTGGTCTTACAAACCATGCACAGCTGTGCTAGACCCTTCGATTTTAAGCTGCATGCTTGCAATTAACATTCACAGCAGGTTGTTCAGTGTACCTGTGATATCTCTTCAGTGACATCGAGTGGTCTGTCACCTTCTTGCGAATATCACTTGCTGTTGCGTGAGGCCCACTAATTGTCTACAAACAAACACTGTATAATGTTTATGTTAAGAGGATACTTTTACGTGTTTTTGCATATAGGCAAATGCAAAACGCATATTGGCAAGAGGCTGTCTGTGTGTGTGTGTGTGTGTGTGTGTGCGTGTGTGTCTGTGTCTGCGTGTTCACACTTTTTGTCACCCACTTTCAACTAGAGAACCAGAAAATCTAGAAGAGTGAAACTTCGGGGGTATGTGCCAAA